AAAGATCTTTTTAACACAAATGCTCTCCAGCAATAACCAGCTGGTAGAGAACCTTGAAACTCCACTATCTTTAAGGAATCCAAGTTTTGAGTAGCAATGGGCCATGCTGAGACTCCAAGGAGGGCCAAGTAAACCCTAGCAGCAAAAGATGGAAGGAGCCAAGAATGTATTCCTGTGCCAGGCTCTGGCCTAACACTTAACTAATGTGGTCTTATCTGATCCTCACAACAGCCTTGGGAGGGAAGTACTTTTATTATCCCCATTTTTCAGATGAGGAAACTGAGGCAGACAGAGGTTTAAAAAATTACCTAGGGTTACATGCAGCTCATGAGCAGCCCTGGGAGGATGGTAGGCAAAGTGTGGGCAAGAACTTCAACGGCTGAGAAGGGGATGGGCTTTGAGTGACATTCACTGGGGATGGTCCCTCCATCATCAATGAGGCAGAAATACACTTGAGTATTGCAGCATTAGTCTGAAACTTACTATCTGGAAATAGAAAACAGGCAGTTCAGTGAAGAGTGCTGGGCCTGGAGTCAGGAAGACCTGAGTTCAGATCCAGCCTCAGACGCCCACTAGCTGCACGTGACACCAGGCAAGTCATTTAACCTCTCTGCCTCAGTTTCCACATCTGTAAAATGGAGCTAATAATAGCACCTACATTCCCTGGGTTGTTTTGAGGATCAAATGAAATAATAATTGTAAAGCCCTTTGCACAGGGCCTGGCACTTTGTATAAATGTTAGTTACTATTATTATTAAACCAAACATTTATGCTACAATGTTAAAACAGCTCAATCAAATCAATCCATAAACATTTATTAAGTGCCTACTACATGCTAGGCCCTGTGCTAAATGTGGGGATACAAAAAGAGGCTAAGATAGGACCTGCCTTCAAGGAGCTGACAATCTAAAGCATGACAACATACAAACAAATACATTTGAAGCAAGCTCTATACAAGATAAATAGGAAAGAATTAAGGGTGGGAAGGCCATAGAATTGAGAGGGGTTGGGGAAGGCTTCTGGTAAAGACAGGATTTTAATTGGGATTTAAAGGATGGCGGGGGAGGGGGGAGTGTTGAGGAGGGAAAGCATGGGGCCAGCCAGAGAAAATGCCTGCAGTCAAGGTGCAGTATCTTGTTTGTGGACTGGCCAGGAGGTCAGGGTCACTGGAATACTGGTGGGGGGGTAAAGTGTAAGAAGACTGGACAGGTAGGAGGGGCTGGATTATAAAGGGCTTGGAACACCAAACTGGGCATTGTGCAATTGATCCTGGAGGCGATGGGGAGCCACTGGAGTTTAATGAGGAGGAGGGTAACGTGGCCAGACCTGCACTTTCAGAAAGTCAGTTTGGTGGCTGAATGGAGGACGGACTGCAGTAGGGAGAGACTGGAGGCAGCCAGACCCACCAGCAGCTACTGCAACAGTCCAGCCTTGGGATGATAACAGCGTAACCTACACCAGGGAGTGACTGTCAGAGGAGAGAAGGGGGCATCTTGGAGAGACGGTACAAAGTGAAATCAATGAGCTGGCAACAGATTACACATGGGGGGTGGGGGTAGGCAGTGAAATGAAGTGAGGAGGCCAGGATGACTTGTGGCACTGATAGTAATGGGGAAGAAAGATTACTACTGGCCAGCCAGCTTAAGATGTCTGAAAGGCAGTAGAAGATTAGAGGTCAGCAGAGAAATTGGGGCAGGCTAGGGAGAGCTGAGAATCACCAGCTGGAGATGGTCATTAAATACATGGGAGTTGATGAGATCGCCAAGGGAAATAATACAGAGAAGACTGTAAGCTCCCTGAGGGCAGGCTCTGGTTGGTTGACCCCATTTGGGGTTTTCTTGGCAGAGATACTGGAGCGGTTTGTCATTTCCTTCTCCAGCTCATTTTGCAGATGAGGAAACTGGGGCAAACAGGGGTAAATGACTTGCCCAGGGTCATACAGCTAGTAAGTGTCTGAGGCTGGACTTGAACTCAGGAAGATAAGTCTTCCTGACTCCAGGCTGAGAGCTCTATCCATTATGCCCCTTATTAAATGCTTGTTGACTTCAATGAGAAGAAATTGATCTGACAATCACGTTGGCTAGAAATGGGTGCCTTTGGACTCCTTCCTCCCTTGTCCCAAACTAAAAACAAAGCAGCAAAGGCAGAGTTGAAGATGGCCTGTGATTCTAGGTTTCAGGAAAGTCTGTCCTTCCTCTTGCTCTCTTCCACAGGGAGGCCCTGCCTTCTCAAATCGTGAGATGGGCCAGAAACATTGTGAGCCAGCTGGGAAAAAAAGGCAACGAGGATGCTGAAGGTCCCTGGGGCCCAGGACAGGTGGGAGAAGAAATGAAGCAAATGAAGCTGAAGGCACCCTGGCCTGGGATCCAGTCAGAGGAGCTGGATTCTGCAACAGCTACTTTATGGCAGGGTGTCCTGGGCCTCCCCTTCCTCATCTCTAGAAGGAAGTCAGTCAACAAGCATTTATTAAGCACTTACTGTGTGCCAGGCACAGTGCTAAGCACTGAAGATAGAAAGGCAACCACATGGTCTCTGCTATCAAGGAAGGAGGGAAAAAAAACCATGCCAAAACTATGTATATACAAGAGATACACTGAGGAAATGGGAGGCAATCTTTGAGAAAAAACTCTGGGGGAAGGGGGGAGAACCAGGAAAGGTCTCTTGAAGAAGGTGGTCTTCAAGCTGGGTCTAGAAGGAAGTGGCTGGCCTAAACGATCTCCAAGGTTCTTTCCAGTTCTAAAACTATGTGTTTGAGCCTCAGTTTCCTGACCTGCAAGAGGCCTTGTACTGACTCTACAAGATCCCTAAGGTCCCCTTTCCAGCTCTAATCCTATTATGCTATAAAATCACTTGGCCTCAGTCTCCCCCTCTGTAAAATGAGGAGGCAATGGTCGGATGACCTCTAAGGCCCCTTCTAAGTCCTGTGGCGGGTACCCTGGCATTGACTCCTTTGATTTCAGGCAAAGGGCTCTGGGAATGCTGATGAAAAACGTGCTCATGTTGCCTTTCCTGAGTGGCATCTAACATAAGGTGCTCCTGTCAGCCCTAAGCAGCAGAGGCACCACACCAAACCATGCCACCATGCCCTACCACAAGAGGCAAAGGAAGACGGTTTCAGTGCTGGAAGGTTGCCACCTGCTGAATCACCAACATCACTGGGCTTTCCTTGGCTTCTTCCCATCCAAGGACTGACCAGACAGCAGGGACCCATCCCCTCCCCCATGCCCCGCTGGCCTCAGAGATCTAATAACCTGGCCGCCCTGAAACGGACACTCGTTTGCCAGTCTGCAAATGCAAAAACTGGAGAGGAAGGAGGAGGAGAAAAAGAGAAAAGAAAAACTGGTCCTCGAAGCTCCTCGTCCTCCCTTCTCCTTAAGATGATTTGACACTAGCAGACTGGGGCTGCCACAAGGCAGGCAGCTAGGCAGGCATGATGCCAACCGGGCCCACACCTCGCCAAGCTCTGGCCCCTTCCACCCCAAGCACCAAACCAAACACACTGCCCCAAGCGCAAGCCAGGCCGAGGGGCTGCCGGAGGGGCTGACGGAGGGGAGGAGCAGCTTCTCAGGCGCCTGCACAAGCCAGAGGCAGGCCTCACGACTGGCCAAGCAGCCAGCCCGATGCATTCTCCCCTGCACCCCGCCTTCCCCTGGCCATTGCTTTCTCTCAGGATTCCTCCAGGCCAGGGGCCAGCCTTTGGAAGGAAGGCTCCCGCATGCACGATCGCCAACATCTGGACCCCACTAGGCTGCCCCTTCTAGCTTCCTCCTGCTCCTCCCCAGCCTTCAGCAGGATTTGGCAACGGGCATATGGCAGTGAGAAGGAAAGAGTTAACCAGCGTCAGGCCGAGCCGGGTGGGAAAACCTATCAGCTCCCGGCCCCTGGCACCGAGGTACCCCCCAAACCCACCTCACTAGAGCCACCCTCAAGCCCGGGTTGGGGCTGCAGGAGGCGGGGAGGTCGAGGGGGCGGGCTGGCACTGGGACACTGCCCTTGCCAAGAAGCCCTGCCCCACTGAGTTCATCCTCCCCACCGGCGGCGGCGGCGGTGGCAGGGGCCCGAGATGGCAATTGATGTCCTTGGGGGTGGCTACTGCTGCCAGGCCAGGCCCGGCTGAGGTACTCCCGAAGCCCAACGCCCCGGGATCCTCCCTCGTCCTGCTAGGCCTTTTCCCAGTATCGCCACCCCCACCCCCCACCCCGAAGTGTGCAGCCAACCCGGCCAGGATCCGCCTCCAAGGCTCGGGGGTGTGTGGGTTGGGGGAAAATCGGATCACAGCTTCCTCCCTCCCCCGCTCCCTCCCCACTTGTTATGGTGCGGGGGGAGGGGCAGTGGGACTCCCCCCACCGCAGACCAGGATGCCCCGGGATTGACTAAGTAAAACTGTGTTGGGGGGGGGTCATCAAACAGTCCAGGGGCTAGCGTCTCTCCACAATCCGGAGTCAAGAAGCTCGGGGCTCCATCTTTCGGGGTCATGGAGCTCGGGGTAACTGAGAAACATTCAGGGATGTGGGCAAAATTTTCTGGCTGGATCTCCCTAAAAATGCCCGCCCCCTCCCCCCGCCACACTCCACAGTTCTTCAGCGCCCCCCCCACCCCCGCCAAACAGAGCTGTCTCACGTTCGCCCTGCTCTTACGGCACGCATCACCTCCTCAAAGGTGTCCACTAGGAACTCTCCCTCAGCCTTCTCCCCGCCCTCAACACCCTCTGGGGACCGGACTTGGCTAGGAAGACGCCGGGCGGCCAACCTCACCCCCATGCCCCAGTTTGGGGATCCCAGCCCCCCTCTCCCCGGCTAGTCTGTGAGCGTAATCCGCGGCGAGGGAGGTGTGTGGCCAAGCCCGGGGGCCCCTCTGCCCCTTCCGCGGGCCGGGGCAGAACGCCTACCAACCCAGTCCCCAGCCGTGTGGCCCGAGCTGCTACATTGTATCCTCTAGTACCCCCCGCCCTCCCTCCCGTTACAAAGTACCGAGTTCTTTCCCAGCCGCCCAGGACTCACCGAACTGGGGAGAGAGCCGCCGGCTCTTGCTGCCTTCCGCTCGCAGAGCGCTCGGGCTCAGCCGGGGACCTGAATCCGGTAAGACCGCAGCGCTCTGGGTCCGGCTTGGCTCCGACCTCCTGGACCTTCTCGTCGTCCTCCAGTTCCCGGCTTCGTCCACCTCCTCCTCCTCTTCCTCCTCCTCCTCCTCCTCTTCCTCCAGCTCCTACCCTTCTTGCTTGCGGGGGGAAAACCTTCCAGTCCCTGCCTCCCCTTCTTCTTCTCCTTCTCCTCCTCCTCCCCCCACCGCCTCCCTCCCCCTCCTCTGGCTGCTGCCTCGGTAGTGCGAAAGCTTCCGACTTGCAGCCCAAGCCTTGCCAGAGCTGAGCATGCCCAGTGCCGCCGCCCCGCCAGAGCCCAGCCGAGGCTCAGGCTCACCGGGCGGATTGGGGCTTTCCAGGTTTTCGCTATGGCCAAACGGAGGGTGGGGGGAACCTGCTCGGGCGGGAGGGGGAAACGCTGCCCAGGGTTCAACGCGGAGGTCCCAGCCAGTGCAGTTGAAGGGATGGAAGGAATGGAGAAAGTCTTAGAGAGTGTTAGACCTTGGAATACAAATCAAGACACGGAATTGTGGGCTTCTGCTCTGAGCTAGCAAGGGGGATGCAGAGATGTAAATGACTCGAGCCCTGCCCTCAAGGAACTTATATTCAATCAGTTCAGTCTCTGACATCTTTGAGGTGCTTGTCGACTGAGTTGATTGATGTGAGCTCAGATATGTTTGGTAGAAGACCTAACGTGATGAGAGCAAAGGGGTCAGCCCGAATGCCCCAAGAAATTTTAGCTAAAATCATGAGGAAGGCTTCGCGGTAGAGGGGATTTCCGAGCTGGATCGAAGCCCAAAAAAGAGTGTGAACAGCAGGGACAGGAGGGGGAGCTTTGGAAGCCATCCAAGCCCCCCGGGGTTGCTTCTACGCTCATCTCCAGTATCATCTCTTGGCGAAGCCCGCCTGATCCCCCCCCAGGTGCCAGTGCCGCTCCCCAGGCCTGGGACGTAGTTTAACTGAAATTCTTTCCCCAATAAAATGTGTGACAGTTGTGGATGGTGGTGGTCAGACCCACACACACACACACACACACACACACACACACCCATTTACTGAACTGGGCATGGGCTCTGGCCTTTGGCTACAGGGCAGGCACCTCTCTCTAGAATGACTCGGGAAACTTCTGATTGGTCCCCAGTGCTAAACCACAACTATAAATTCCTGTAGGGCACGCTCCACTTCTGGCACTCCCGTAGATGCTTAAGGAATGTTAGGTAAGTAAACTATGAATCCAATGTAATCCACCGAAGGACAGAGATACATCTGGTCCATCAAGTTCGGGGAAACTACTTGCCCAAGGTCACAAGGCCAATAAGCTTTGGGAGAGGACTTAATCTAAGTCACTGTTATCATGGGCTTATTTGTATAGAGCTTTATAAAGATTATCGTTTCTCGGTCCTCTTAGGGCCATTTGGAGATTCACCAGGTGCTTGGATTTTAATGGAATGATAGCTGATGAACAAGCTTAGGGACCCCGGCTTACTACTATGCCTGGCATACAGTTGGCACTTAATAAATGTTTGTTTCCCATCCTCCCCCCAAGTAACTGGGCATTCTGGAGTCCAGGAAGGGACCGGAGCTAAGAGGCAAGGGAGACTTAGTGCGTACACCCAAGAATGAAACGCGCTAATGTTTATTTAAAGAGTTCTGGGTGGCCAGAGTTGGGAAGCTTACTTCCGTGGTCTAACAGAAAATTCCCTGAGGCTCAAAAGGGTTGTAACATAGGAAATAAAACCCTGTTTTATAATAACAAAGCAGAGGTCAACTCAGGCCCTCATAGCCATCAGGTTCCTTCTCCGCCCAGACGCAAACACGGGTGACCTCCCAGGGAGAAAACGTTCCGTAGTGAGGGGCTGGGGCTTGCAACGCCGAAGCACAGTGTGTGGGAGGTGCAAGCAGAGTGGATTAAGTGCTGAATTCGGAGTCTGGAAGACTCGGATTCAAATTCTGCCTCTGTCTTTACTAGCCTACCAACCCAGGGTAAACGAGTTTCCTCTTCAACGATAGAGCAGTGAAGGTTCTGGTGGCAAGGGCCTCCCTCCGGGTCCTCAGCCCACACAGAGGCAGAGCACTTCGTAAACTTTCTAACCGCCAGCTCTAATTATGTCACCCTGCCTCTGCTCCACCCTAGGAGAAGGGTCTCCAGGGCCCTTCCAAACTCGGCCATTCTGGGCTCCGGATTCCCACGATCATCTCTAATCAGGGTCGGTGACGTAGAACCCTGCTGCTCCTCCCCCCCCCCGAGTCCTTCCAGCTTACAGATTCACACCCACTTAGGGTTTGCGCCCGTCATCTAGCATCCTCCAACCCTCCGCGCCCCCCAGAGCTTAGGCCAAGGGATCTCTCCGGCCCGTTCTACCGCCCTTGCAGAATCCCACCCCAGGGCAGAGGTGGGGCGGCGGTAGAGAGCGGGTCAGCGCCCAGGGGAGAGCCTGGCGCGGAGCTGCGGGCCGCCTCCTCCAGGGCTCCTAGGTCCTGCGGGGTGCGGCCCGGGCAGGGACACCATTAAGCCTCGGCCAACCGGCCCAGGAGCTGCCTGGAGGCTCTCCAAGGCTGGGAAACCTGCGACTGCCACCCTAGGATGGGTGGGAAAAGCTGAACGGTCCGAGCAGCCGCGGCCACGTGACTGTCCGAGCCGCCTCAGGGTAGCCATCTTCCCGCGGGCAGCCAGTCCGGCCCCCTCTGACGCCGGCCAATCGTCGGGGAGGGGAGGGCAGGGCAGAGCAGGAAAGGGGGACTGGGGCGTGCAGCACACACACCCCGCCCCCCCTTCGGACACACCTCTCTGACCGTCACTTCCCTCCCTCTGCTCATTTCCTCTGCTTTAAGCGGACCCGGCCTCCTGGACTCATGCTTACAGTTCCTCTGCTTTCCTTGCCTGGCTTTGGGGAGCCCCTTCGGAGGCGCGATGCCCGGGGAAAGCAGAGAGCACGGAGACAGAAGGCCTGGGTTCCCGTCTTAGCCCTCCTGTTCCCCCACTCTGGGAGCTGGCCAGCAAAGCCCATGCATAGGGAACTGAAGCGTGTCCCCCTTACTGATGAAGGGCCTGATGAGCCCGGGGGCACACAGGTAAGCCAGGGCTAGACTCGACTTTCCTAGAGTGGAAAAATAGAAGGGCCTACAAAGAACTTCCAGCCTGGCCCCCTCGTTTTACGGAAGAAGATACTGAAGCCCAGATTGGGAGTGATTTTGTGCTAGGATCTTAGGGTAAGGGTCTGACGACCGACACCTTAGTCCAGCCCCGTCTTAAGTTTTGGGGGTGTTTTGCAGACGTGTCATTTTATTGACTTAGGAAACTCCCGGTGTGGAAAGACTTCCTGGGCACGTCAGCAGCTGTGCTTATATTTTCGCTTTAGTTGCTTAGGATCAATCAACAAGAATTTATTGCGCTCTAGAGGCGTGTGAGGTGTTCAAGAAGGACTTTCGGTAACACCTTGGTAAACCAACACTCTCTGCAGACGGGCAGTACCGGGGGGAGGGTAACCGGCAGGCCTGAAACGGTCAGGTGATTTAAGGGAGCGGCTACCCTAAGTTTGTTCCAATGGCCATGCTGATAGCTTGGTTGGACATCAAGGAGGTGTCCACTGCATCCTGGCCTTTGCTGGGCTTGACTTGTCCTGCTGCTGGACTCCAGCGACTCTGGAAGAGAGGGTAAAAGGCTTAGGCTTTGTGCACCCTGCCTCCCCTAAATCCTGTTTATGAGGGAGTCTAGACATCAGCCATAATGCCGTTGATCCTCTTGGGAAAAAGGAAGCACGAACAACAGCTGAGCCCCAGCTACCCGGTCAGGCACTGTTCTAAGTAGTGGGGCTAGAAAAAGAGGCAAAAGAGTCCCTGCCCTCCAAGAGCTTACAGTCTAACGGCAGAGACCACATGCAGACAAGTATGTACAAAGCAAGCTCTGTGTAGAATAAATAGGAAATCGTTAACGGAGAGGAGGCACTGGAATTAAGGCTTCTCTAGAAGGTGGGGTTTTAGTTGGGGCTCGAAGGAAGGCAGGGAAGCCAGTGGGCAGAATTGAGGAGGGAGAAGATGCCTGGAACCCAGAGGAAGATTGTCTGGTTTGAGGACTAGAGCATCACCGGTTTGAAGAATGCATGTGGCAGAGTAAGGTGTAAGAAGACTGGAAAGGGCTATGTCATAAAGAGCTTTGGAGGCCAAACAGTATTTTTGTATTTGATCCTGGAGACAAGAGGAAGCCGCTGGAATTTATCAGGGGGTGGAGGGGGAAGAGAGTGACCTTTCGGTCATACCTGTGCTTTAGGAAAATCAGTTGGGTGGCTGGATGGAGGATGGACTGAGGCAGGCAGACCCCCACTCCCAACAGCTGTTATAGCAGTCCAGGAGTGAGGTGATGAGGGCCTGCGCCAGAGTGGGGGCAGGGTCAGAAGAGAGAAGGAGTGAAATCTGCAGGCCTTGGTGATGACTTGGATGTGGGGGAGGGGTGAGATGGTGAAGAGTCCAGGATGACTCCTAGGTTGTGATCCCACAGGTTGTGGGAAGATGGGGTAGGTCCAGAGTAGTAGGGAAGGCAGGAAGTAGGGAGGGTTTGGGGGGGAAGAGACATACTGAGTTTCAGATGTCTATGAGAGATCCAGTTCAGGAGGTCAGAGGTCGGTACAGAGGCCAGGGCAGGAGAGGCAGATTTGACAGTCATCAGCGTAGAAGTGGTCCTTAGATCCTTGGAGCTGATGAGGTCACCAAGGGAAGCAGGAGGGAGGGAGGGAGAAGAGAAGAGGGCCCAGCCCCAGACCTGAGGGACACCTAGGGTCAGAGGGTGTGCTCTGTAGGAGCATCCAGCAAAGGAGGCTGAGAAGTAAGTGCCGGAGGCAGGACTTGCGCCTTGGTCTTTGAGAGATCTTGGGGCCCTTCTTGTCCAGTCCCACATTTTACTTCAGACCTTTCTCTGCTTTTGTTGGTACAGGTAACTTCTGAGTTAGGAAACTCCTCCCCTCTTGTAGCTCAGCACCTCTTCAGAAGCCAGAGTCACACCAGGTGCTGAATGGTGAGCCAGTTCATTCACCGGGTCCTAGGTCAGAGAAAGCACTCAGACACAGGTCTTTCTGGCTCCAGGTCCAAACTCTCTCCTCCATGCCATCATACCTGCCATTTTTACTAGTGAAGAAACTAAGGCCCACAGCGGGTCAGTAGCTGTTATCAGGTCACGGATAAGGGCCTTAGAGGCCTAACCCTCTCATTTGACAGATGAGGAAACTGAGGTTTGTGGAGGTGAAGGGAT